GAAACAATAACAAACAAACAAGTTGACAATTCGAAGATAATTGAAATGACAATATAATGACTCGTGGTGGTTCATCTTATAGATTCAGTCCTAGAATGCAGCCAGACACATCGTACAGTAAGACCTGGCAAAAACTAAATGTTGCTAGGGGGAGGCCCCCCAAACCGCTCTAAACGTGCGATTTCCGTCCGCGCGCATTTTTCAGGGAAACCTCCTTGGGGCTCAGGCTCAGAGCCATCTGTAAATTCAGCTTTAATGTCATGCCACGTGTGCAATTCAAAAACAGATCACTATGCTGCAGAAAATTTGGTGGCTCTCTCTTCTGATTTCCTAGTGTATGGATGCGGGGTTGGATCGGTCTTTGTTCATTGTCTATCACAATTGCTTTGTTGTACTGGCTACAATCAGCCTCACTTAGCAGACTACACCCTGGCAACGATTACAATCACATTTCAATAATTCAGGCTGGCCTGTCTGCGCCCCCAACTCTCCAGCACAGTAGATCAGATCCCACCAGTTCTTCAAAACCTGCCATTCGGCTGCTCCATTCATTAATGAATCGTGTTCAAATGTCTCCTTCCTCATCTAACCAAGCCCCGACATTAACCTCAAACCACGGCCACCTCACTGACCTGCCTGCAATGTCACGCAGATATGGCAAAAGTACAGCACTCCTTTACTCAAGTAGAAGTATGCAGATACTTGTATTTATAATACTCTGGTAAAAGTAGAGGTCCTGACCACATTTCTTTATAAAGTAAAAAGTACAAGAAGTATGGGCTTATCAAATGTAATTAAGTAAAAGTAGCGCCATAACTAACCATCTGTTTTATAGAGTAACTGAACCTCCAGCTTTATATTAATAGAACAAAATGTAATTGTTAGCTAAATGAATGTTTCGCATGGCTGAAGCACGGCAAAATGACAATATTTCAATTGGTCCGCTCTTTTTTAGAGAAAGACCAGAGGAAATTAAAGCGATAACACGGGTCGTGTTCACATCAATAGGCAGCAATGACCTAAATAATAATGATCAGGCCACCAAAAAGCGCAGATTAAAACTAAAGTAAGCAGACGCTGTTTCGAAAAATGTAAGAGTATAAGTACAGGTATTGTGTTAAAAATGTAAGAAGTAAAAGTAAAAAGTCGTCAGAAAAATAAGGGCAGTGAGTAAAGTACTGATACCAGAAAAATGTACTTATGTACACTAACAAAGTAATGTACTCCATTACTTCCCACCTCTGATCGTCACACTTCTACCTGCAATGACCAATCGGCTGACTCCAACCTCCTTACCTCTCTCACCCAATCAAATCACCTCCCCCTCCCTCTGAAGCTCACTCCAACACCTCAGACATTCCCTTACTATTCTTTTTATTACAATATTGCAAATGTTCAGTCATCATTAGGACCGTGAACTACTTCTGGGTAACTTTAGTTCACACAACTATATCTCTCTCCAGGGAACTGTGACTTTGCTGTAGTTCTTCCATTGTGAAGTACCTGGCAGCTTGGAAGATTCTTCAACACTGCCTTCTCTCCGGGTTGTGTCTCCTCCCATGCCATCCGGCTGTCTGTCTGTTTCTGTCTGTACCCCTTGGATGGATCCAGCTGTATCTGTGTGTCAATCAAATGTTAAATCCAAGAAGCCACTGATCCAATTTTGACAAAACAGGAAGGGCACCATATTCTTGTCTAAAATTCCAGGTGCAAAACGTACTCAAACAGATGGTGAGGTGGATAGACACAGTTGGCCACATCAACGTTATGTGAGGATTGTTCTTTAGTCTACAAATACATAAAAACATATAACATACATAAATTGAACAAACAGATCAGTGGAAATATCTTCTCATCTTCCGGAAAACAAATCTCTTCCCACACATGGTGAATGGAACTGTCTGTCAAATTCCCTGCCCAATAAGTACTTTTACTTTTGGTACTTTAAGTATATTTTGATGCCAATACTTTTGTACTTTTACTTGAGTAACATTTTGAATTCAGGACTTTTACTTGTAACAGAGTATTCCTGAGTCTGGTACTTCTACTTTTATGTAAGTGCAATATCTGAGTACTTCTCCCACCTCTGTCCCTGTGATATGAATCCACCAATAACAAATATGGCAGTAATTAAGGAAACATACAAGAGTACTTCAAGCAGATACACAAACACACACACACAACTGATTTGAATACAGATTGAAGGTGTTATTGTTTGGCGAGCAAACTCGCCAAAAAAGCATCCCACTCATTAACTATTTTTCCCAGAGCTAATCCTAAAATGTGAGAAAAATAACTACATGACTTCCTCCCCCGACACATTTGAACCAAACAGTCTCTAACTTTACACTCACACTGAGATTCTGCTGTCACTTAAGAGAGCCAGGATATTTCAGGGAGTTAAACTGACGCACTTGGAAAGTCAATGATGTCTTCAGGAGCCAAGGAGAAGACTGTCACAGTCACACACACACACACACACACACACACACACACACACACACACACACACACACACACACACACACACACACACACACACACACACGCACACACTCAAAGAACACAAATCAAGCTGTGACAGTGAGAGAGAGAGCGTCGGTTGCCTCCACAAAGCAGGGAGCCACCTACAGCTGAACAATCCCACAGAAAAAGACTGACAAGATTGACGGCTGGAATTGGACAAAAATCAAAATGTTCATGGCGTTCAGCCCGTATGGCTTATATTTATGACTTCAAATATGATTCATGTCTTTCTAATTTCTCTACCTTTCTTTTACTTTCTTGGTCTTTTGTTCGTCTCCCTGCTTCTCAGCTGCTCCATATTGCTTCCCCTGTCTCCAACAGATTGTTGGGCTTTCTTTATGTCTTACATTGCTTTTCATACTCTTTCTTCCATGTCCCTGGCTCCCGTTGTCTCTCTCTGACAAAGTTTGGTGGAAGCAGATAGAAAAATGGAGATGGAGGATTTAGCTGCATCAGATAGTGCTTTTTCTATGTTGCATTTAATTGTTTTAAGCCGCAAACAGATACATCTTGTTCCAAAATTGCAGAATTGTAGCTTAAACAAAGTTTGTTTTGAAAAAATAGAATGCTATTCAAATACAATAATATGGGATTTTCTTTAAAGTAAATTCTACAGGACACAATTGTGACAGTCAAGATTGCATTTTTCTTTACACTGCTACGTTTGGATTCATCGATGAACCACTATTCAGACAAATTACTAAAGTTTGTTTAAAGTCGGTTGGATGTTGTTCTTGTTATCCCTGAAATTGAAATGTGACTTATTTTATATCAGAGCATTACGTTTGTGTAACCTGCACAGGAACCACAATTGTGGAACTAAAAGTGAAAGGATAAAGATCTCAGAAAAATAATACCGTTTACCATATTTCTGAAATAACAAAAATGTTGCAAGTTTCCCAACTCATCACATATTGCGCGAGTTGAATAGAAAGTCTTCAAAACTGCAGAGAAGCATCCGGAAAAAATATTATGTGGTGATGTTTTGCATTTAAGTGGAAATCTTTTCTCAGAAGATGTTATTGTTCAGATGCTTTTAAAAAGGATGACATTTCTTTAGTGTTGAAAATGAATTGAATTGTGTATGTATTTGTGTACCACCATTGGTTTGCCTCAAAATAGTTTCGTTTTTTATTCTAAATGCATATTCAAAACATGTATATCTTAGTTGAGCCCCTTGCCACAGTTTCTCCTCCCATACCAAGGTTAAAGGGTTGATTCGTCTCATGTCACAGGAATGTTCCATACTTTGCCCCGATCTATCATGACGGCCAGACATACTCCATCAATATTTGACATTTATTCTCTAAATTATTTTCATCATTATCTTCCTCTCCTCTTGCCTTATTAACCTTTTTGTGTACCCTTATATTTTACATTATTCTGAAACAAAAGATGTGGTGGTGACAGAAGTGACATGTGAAGAGGGTTAGACCACACTGTATGTGAAATGTGACCACTTCATTGCAGCTGGATGTAAAACAATCTCTTTCAAACACATTGCACTAAACACTCTGTTAAATACAACCATGTCTGAGAGCTCGGTTTTTGAACAGTTTTGGGTTG